AATAACCCCTAAAAGGTTATTTTCCGGCAAACCGGTCACTATGACTTCTAAGTACGTTCTTGGACCTAGAACTACCTCCAACCCCTCATTCTACACTTCTAAACATGTAGAACAATCCTAGGGGTCCTCAGTATGATATATAAGTCATATGATGAATAAAAAGTAAAGGAAAAGTCATTATAAGGTCATTACCTTAATCCTTCACACTTTTCCTTAGTTTTTTCCTTCTTAAATATATCTTTCTCCTTGGATCTCTATTGCTTGAGATCGAATTTTGAAGCTATGGACGAGGATATTTTAAGCTTCTCTCTCACTTCTTGGATGGCTGGGTCGAGCTAGGTGATTGGAGGAGAGAGGAGATGCTCACTTTTGTCTCAAATGACAAATGAGTGAGGGTGGGGGGTCCTCCATGGTACTTTTAATGCCAAATGCATCTCCTCCACATTTCCTTAGTGAACACCAGCCCCTCACATTAATTTGAGCACACAAAAACGTGGGGTGGCCCCCACTCATGTGGGAGGTCATCCCTTTGTGTCCCAATCCGTACAATCGGTCCTGAAAGTTGTATTTTTCAGACTGTTTTAATTATATTTCATTTATCGGTTCAAATAAAATATAACACTTGTTCCAAATCATTAAAGGCCTTTAGAATGGATGTACATTCCCCAACTTATATTTAGAAGTCTCTGAAATTCATTTCGGGCTGTTATCCGATAAATTACCAATACCGGTGATTGGGCCTCGTTTGACCAATGGGTCAACTCTATGCCTTTTCTATGGCCCAACTAAAATATCCACCACCATATACATCATATCTATATCAAGATGAATATAATATGTGGTTCTGGAATTATCGGGTGGTCCCCGTTCCCGATGCGGGCCCCGTGTGCGATTCACTATTCACACAAAAGAAATAACAAAAATTTACAGCTTCGCAAATTCATAACTCATTCTTCAAGGTTTATTACATGATTTATTGAAAAGTAAAATATGTTTGGGGACGGTGTTACAATGTAGCCATGCAAGTGGTCACTGACGGGACGTTGGCGTAGTTGGTCAGTGGTAGGCGACACGTGGTGGTCGTGTTGCGGCGGCATATGGTGGTCCTTTCGCAGCGGCCGTGGTGGTAGACAACAATGTTACTATAGATTTGTTTGAAAAAATGTCACTGAGCGATTTATTATAATTATGCGTCTATGTGTAGTTGCATCGTGAATGCTAGTCGCAGTGGGGCGGGTGGATGATGTGGCTCATGGAATCATGGTTTTTGGTCGACACTCGACGACTATTGATGACCACGACATGGCTTGTAGGCTAATCATTACGTACGGAACGGAGTATATAATACGGAGTAGTAGCTATATGAAAATAAATTTTGACTCATACGAATATTTTGGCACACAGACCAACATATTAGATAGTTTATAAAGAAATACAAAATAAATATGTACTCCATAATTAAAAAAAAAATGAAAATAAGATATTGTATCTGCATTACTCAAAAAAATGAAGAACGTTAATTTATTCATGCAATTGTTGTGGTTTCAATTTTTTTGGCAAAATTGTTGTGGTTTCAATTAATTTCTAACGATTTACTTTGAAAAACATTATGTAATTTCAAAGATATTTAAATTAGAGTTGTAATCTAATTTCACCGTAAAATAGAATTATTCAAATTTGTATGAAAATCATAAATCCATTAGTATGTGTTTTGAAATTATAGTTAATAACGATGTAGTTTAGGATGTTTTAAAACTGACTAAAATTTGGTCGTTTTTTTATAGTTGGTGGACTTAATACACCCGAAAAAAAGTACATGGACTCCATTGACTTTTTGTTAAAAGTACGTAGACCTATTTGACAGTTTTCTCAAAAAAAAAAAAAATTGGAAATCAGTAAAAATGCCAGCTCGGACGTCCACGTAGGCGTTTAACCGGCTAACCGGTTGATTACCTACTAAAAAGCTGATTTGGTCGGTTTTTGATAGTTGGTGGACTTAATTGACTCGAAAAAAAGTACATGGATTCAATTGACTTTTTGTTAAAAGTACGTGAACATATTTGACAGTTTTCCCTTATTATTATTATTACTATCCTGATTTATTACTTCCTGATCACATAAGTTAGGAACCTTTTAATTTATTTTACTTATATATTAGTTTACTTAATAGGAGTATTACTAATATTACTCCGCATGATTATTATGTAGCGAAGGAGTTTTGTTCATTCAGGACTATGAATATAACTCTTTCTAATTAGTTCAGATTCATTGTTTACGTGGTGAAGTTTTTATAAGAAATTTTGTATGTATAGCAGGCTTATATATGTATACGTATTTTGTAGTAGATTTGGTATTCTAAATTTTATTACTTCGTATGTATTTTTATGTGTATAATTAATAATTGTACATCTATTATTAAGTGTTTAACATTTATAAAATGTCACTTCCATAATTATCGTAAAAAAGTTACTTCTATTATTGAAATATTTTTATCTTTTCACTTGATTATCACAATCTCACTTTTATAATATTGTATTTTACTAGTAAAACTATTTATTTAAATTTTTCGGAGTGTCACACTAACCGATTTTCCAAGGAAACTAAGGGCAATTAATCAATTATAATAGAGATATTATGGATAGAGTATTAATGTTTACTCCTATTTAGAGAATATTAGAGGTTGACTCCTATTAGCGAGCATCTCCAATTCACAATGTGCACGGTGCACATGTGACATTAGTGATAGAGCAGATTATATTGTGCAACCGGCGCACCCATGAGGATAGTGCGCCCGGTTGCAAAACGACGAAGTATTGTGGCCCAGTTTCATTATTTTTTATTCCTTTTATTGTTAAAAATTGTAATAACTTTTTTGTTTCATATCCGATTTTTATAAATTTTATATTAATTTTTTTTATTTTTCATGATCTATCAAATGAGACCAATATTGCTTATGTAATTTTAACAAATTATGGAACAATTATATAAATGATTATTGGATTATAAGGAAAACCGAACTAAATTTAATACAGAAAAATAATTGTGTAAATCACAATTTATCTTAAAATTGTGTATATAAAAAAAATATTGTATTAGGTATTTATACATGTGAGTTACATATTTTTATATGTGAAGTTACATATTTTTACACGTAAAGTTACATATTTCTACACGCGAGTTACATATATATACACACGAGTTTCATTTGACCTGTCTGAACGCGAGTTACATATATTTACACGTCAAGTTACATATTTTTACACGTAAAGTTACATATTTATACACACGAGTTGCATTTGACCTGTATGAACGCGAGTTACATATTTTTTTTTACGTAAAGTTACATTTTTTACACGTAGAATTACATATTTATACAGTACACACGGGTTGCATTTGGCCTGATTGAACATGAGTTACATATTTTAACACGTAAAGTTACATATTTTTACACGCAAATGTTAATATGTTAAACTTACATGAGCAATATTGGTCTCATTTGAAAGATCATGAAAAATAAAAAAAATTGATATAAATTTTATAAAAAATCGGATCAAAAATAAAAAAATTATTAACATTTATAAGAAAAGGAGAAATAAAAAATAATAAAGCCCATTCCAATTTGGGATGGTATATCATGCGCACCGTGGGACGATTGCATGGTATATGAAATGTAGTGATAGATAGACACAGTAAATATAAGTAAGCAAAATATAAAATATATTTTTCCTTATTTGAGTTGTTTTATATGCTTTTGTTAAGTTTTTTTAAACAATGTCAAGAATAATGTCTAGATGTAAAAATTGTGAATGACATTATTGCCGAAATTATATAAAACCTTGAAATAAAAAGAGAGGAATGTCAATGATCTTTTTATGTGTCTATCTATCTCATGTCACATGGAGAACATGTATATTGTAACACTGAATTAAGTTCACGCTTCATTAATTTCCTTATTTGGCAAATTATCTACATCAAAACAGTGTCAAACAATGTCAAACGGTGTTTGAACAGTGCAAAACAGTGCACTCCACAGTAAAGTCAAATTTATTTTCTTAATACGTGTGAAGTCAAACCGGGAACTTAATTGGGGGACGGAGGGAGTATGATATTGGTATATAGAAATTACTCCAAATAGGACTAATACTATGACAAAAACTCAAAATAGGACTTCCGATGTTTTTCTTTTCAAAATAGGACCATATTAGTCCTATTGGAAACATACCTATTTTTTTATTCCATTCTTACCCTTCATTAAATATGAGTTAATTAAATGTTTAATTCATAATAAATTCGAAAAAAATCAAAAATTCGTAGAAAAATAATTAAAAAAATTATAAAATATTTATAAAATAAAAAATTATAAAAAATTATTTTTTTTATTTTTTTAAAAAATTATTAAAACATAGTAAAACACCATAAAAAAATTAAAAAATATATGGATGCCTTTCCCACCGCCTGTACTACCTCCCTGTACCACCATCTCCGGCCGGTGAAAAAATGCCCTTTTTCCCAAAAACTGCCGTTTTTTCTGAAAATGCCAAAAACATGGCATATTTCTCTTTGAGAATTCCAACATTTTCATTGTTTTCTGCCATAAATATGGGATTCGTAATGAACTTGGCATTTTTTTCCCTTGGTGACTGGAGGTGGTGGTGCAGAGGCGGCGGTGAATTTTATTTTATTTTTTTGATTTTTTTTATTTTTTTTATTTTTTTATTTATTGAAACAAAAATATTATTATCGAAATATTTTTATTAATTTTTTAGTATTTTTTACGAATTTTTATTTATTTTTATTATTTTATTATGAATTAAAACATTTCAATAGCTATAAGTGTATAATTGAACAAGACACACATAATTAGTCCTATGAAAACATAATTTATTTTTTGATCCTATTTATGCAAAGTGGGTGACTTTACTCCTATTTTAATAATTAACCCATTGTTATACGAATATGCTTTACTCGTAGTTTTAATTCCTTTAGTTTACATCTAACAGATATTAAATCGAAGCGTGTCCTTGCCGGCGGTAATGTAGAATGGGATGTCGAAGTGACAAACTCAAAAACAAACCAAAAACAGCTGGAGGGATATCTGAAAGAGGTTAAACAGGGGATAAAATGTGAAGCGAATGATATCAAGTCCAAAGAGGTAAATACGTACGTAAATAATTACTCCGTAAGATCAAGTCCAAAACACTTTTCACCCAAAAGACGAGAAGCGTTTTTTTAAGTAGAAGTTGTCACTTGAAAACACTAATTTTTCTCAATCAACCAAAAACCGAGAAGCATTTTTTTAAACTATCGCAAAAAAAAACACTTCCTTAAATGGTACCATATATGATGATATATCAATTCTATTTGGAAACCATCCCAGAACCATTTTAAATTTTTTATTATTATTAATTTTTAGTCTCTACTTAAATTCAATTATCGCTCTTTAATATTCAACCATCATTAATTTTAAAAATACATATTCAACCATCATTACTTCAACCATCATTAATTTTAAAAATACATATTCAACCATCATTACTTCAACCATCATTACATTTTATAGGAATTGAAGAAGTGTCCCGAATGGTATCGAAAGTTGATACAAAATGAGACAATGCTATATGTTTCTCGGACAATAATGACTCTTCAATAAAAAAAATTACAAAATGGTAGTTTGGCCGTTTGGGATGAGACATGTTCTTCTAAATAACTAATTAATTTGTTCAGATAAAATATTTGTCACACGCCGGAAACGATGAAACAATGAAACATTATTTAAATTGGGAAATTTCCTGAAATAAGATTAAAACAGTTTGAAAATTCCAAAATAGGGTTGTCATGTTTTTTTTTACAAAATAGGACTAATTACTGTCATGTTTAGAAAATACTGGCATGATTAAAGTCTGGTACTGCCAAAACATGACAGTATTTAGTCCTATTTTGGGAATAAAAACATGACAGTCCTATTTTGGAATTTTCAAACTTTTTTAGTCCTATTTTGGGTAATATCTCATATAAATTTACATTCTCCCATCTAACTGACCGGTCGGTGTTGGGGGGCCCTCGAGGATGGGGTGTCATCCTTTTTTATGAAACATTATACGAGGTATAAGATTATGGACTACTCCTTCTATCAGGTTGACCTTTTAGGATACAACAACGAGTCTTAACATGGTATCATAGTCAAGTCCGATTGTGATTTGACTGCTTATTTAACACTCATGATTAAGGGTTGTTTGTTAATGGTCTGTTTGGCCCATTTATACACCCTGATATTGTCTAGCCCGGTTCAGGCTGAGTGGGCGTGTTAAAGTATTTGTCCCACACCGGAAAGCTATAAAACAATGAAACACATATAAGATTTTGGACTTGCTAGGTTGACCTTTTGGGATGAAATCTCAGGTCTTAACAGATCACGCTCAGTGCCAATTGATATAAATACTTATCATCGTTTTTTAGTTGTAACAATTTTATTTTTCACCTTTGACAACATAAAAATTAATCTATTAACATATTTAATTCATTATTAGTAAAAAAAGTTTAAAAAATCATATTTTGAAAAAACTAGAACGAGAAGAATTTAAAAATATTTTTCAAAAGAAACATCTATAAATTATCAATGAATAAGATGTAGTTACCATTTAAAAAATGAAAAAGATGTAGTTAGATATTTTTATTTGAACTTATTTCATTCCGGACCATGCATACTTAAATAGACCACCCCGATCAGATCATATTTAAGCAAACAAGATATTTAAGCAAATAAGATCGGACTAGTGACTATACCAAACTTTGACAGTTATAAAATACACATATATCAGACCAGTTTATATCAAGCCAGATTTAAACAAATCAGAGAAAACGAGAAAATTTTATTCCACTTAAAAACGTGATTAAAGTGGAACATGTGAAATTCTGAAAGTAGGAAATAAGTTTAAGGGGAGGAACAGAAAATTTTATGTGATGATGGATGTTTGTTAATAAAGAATGTAGAAATTGCTCTGAATAGGAGCAAAAACGTTTTGAAATTTCAAAATAGAATTATCATGTTTTTTGTTCCCTGAATAAGACTAATCTGCCAGGTTTGAAAAAAATGTTATGTTTTAAAGCCTAGTAATGCTAAACTTGGCAAAAATTTACTCCTATTCAAGAAATAAAAACATGATACTCCTATTTTGGAATTTCAAAAATTTTTTACTCCTGAATTCTCTTCCAAGAATGTGATGATAGACGATTTCATTTATAATCCGGTTTTACCGGCCATTTACACTTGTACGTTAATATAATTTATTTATTTGAATGTTAAAAAAATTGAAGAACGGAGACGGCAAAAAGAGTAAACCGGACGGCAACGGAGGCGGCGAAAAGAAGAGTGGCAATGGAGACGGCGAAAAGAAGGTGGTTGAAAAGAAGGACGACGCAGGAAAGGAGAAAAATGGCGGCGGCGGAGGACAAAAGTACAACGAGCGCTTCCACAACTCTGCCGCTTTGGCGGGTTCTACGCAGGGTCCATATGTTCCCATACTCGCGGATTTGCACAATGAGCTGATGGAGACACATGGTTTCATAAAAGTTCTGCGTAACGCGGTCAGCGAGGATGATCCCTTTGCCTGCTCTATCCTGTGAAATTCACCCGCCCTAAATAAATAAGTTAATTAAATTTGCTGGATTAATTTAATTAATTAATTAATTATATACGTAGTATGTCTTCTTATCTTAATTATATCACATTGTTGGATTGGCCTGGTATTTCATTATTCCAATATGTGTATTACATTTCAGCATTCATCATTCCAATTGTTGTGATTTCATCTATATTTAGAACCTAATAACTCGTTCCATTATTTGAGTTATTCTGTTTAGTGTCACTTTAATTTGGTTCATTCATCACGTACGTACGCCTCTACTTAATTATTGTCTAACCATTTTCTGATTTTAGGATACAAAACTCCATCGGTGCATATATATAATTATTGCACCATATATTGTAGTAAGTAGCTAGGCTGTGCAATGATATTGTTATATATGATGTTTTTTCCTTGGACTGTTTTGAGCCCCGAACAAGATCAGTAAATTTTTATCCAAGTAAAAACATCTTTAGACTAGATTCCGGATTCAGTGAACTAGTATGGTCCTTGGAGATCTCTCAATTCTATGTCTCATTTGAGTGTAGCCTCTACTTGTTCAGGGTCGGCCATGGGGGGAGCTGTGAGGTAGCTTAACATTTGTTAGGGCCTCCAAATTTTGTAGGCCTCCGTTTCAAAAAATAATAATACTACATTTAATATTTCATTTAATTAATTGAAATACTTAAATATTAGTTTAGTACAAATGTTACGTTGATGACAAATATATATATAACCTAAATAAGAGCGGCTTTTATACTTTTGTGATCATTAGTAATTTTAGTGATCATGATTGTGACCATGATTCTGTAAACCATAATGCGTAGGCATAGTAAATATAGTACTACATCCGTCTCATTCAAAGGTTCATATTGCTAGCTGACACGATTATTTAGACAACAAATAAATATGAAAAAATTGAAAATAATATTCTCAACTATTGTCGGTCCGCTGTGAATAATCTCAACTATCGATTATTCCTAGTTGGTCCCAACTATAGGGATCATTTTCAAAAAAAAAAGTCCCTAACTGGTTACAACATGGTATAGCAGGTCAAATTTAAATGTGAACTATGTGTAAGCTATAAATAATCCCAACTACAGTCAAACTTTTTTTTTATTAATCCCCACTATCAACTCTCAATTTTCTAAAGATAGAGAAATATTTTTATAAATTTCCAAACTAATTTTTTTAAGCATGTAAAAATAATTACGAAAAATCTATAAATGTACTGAAGTTAAATATAATATTTTTTAGTCTTGTGATTTATTTTCACTAAAATTTCATTTTTCCCCCTTTTTCCAATTTATTTTTCCCAAGTTGTGTTACCAATTTATGATTTTGTACTACCTCCATCCCACTATGTTTGGGACAATGGGTGTGGAACAACTTTTAAGAAAAAGTGGAATTGTGTGATCGATATTGAATTGATAAAGTGTGTATAAAGTAAGAATGAATTGTATCCACACAAATATTACCAAATATGGTTGATAGAGTAAATCTAGAGAGAAGTGAGAGCTAGAGAGAGAAGTAGTATAACTGCTCTGTATTAATGAATTTCAGAACCCCCACAACTACTCCCAGAGGGAGTATTTATAGGAAACATTAGGGCTGGGCCCTCAAGTCTTGGGCTTGGGAGGCCCGTTTACAACTGGACCGCTATTGGGCCGAATACAAAGTAAATGGTAGAGTATACAAATGATTAAGTGCAAAATCCTATTCTGGGAGGCCTTTATGGCCGACGAGGGTCTGGCCGATGAGTGCATGGCCGACGAGGTCACCCGGTTCTCCTGGCTCCCGGATCATATTCTGGGTTGACTTCGTTTCGGTCGATGAGGGTCATCTGGCCGATGAGGATTCCACTACGTGATAGTTGTGCCTTCTGTTCTCTTGAGTATGTGTGTCCTGGGGTCCAGGCTCATATACTCCATCACGAGTCCCCCACTCTCTAAGCTGAGATGTAGATGAAGTGAAGGAGAGTAAGTTTCTGTGGTTTGGCTTTTCCTGTCCATTTTGGGCCTGTGGAACCTTGTCCGTTATGGGCGCCTTTACAGTGGTCCTTGATTTTCGTTGTCACGGGTGTTCCGCATTCTGGCCGTTGTGTGACCTTTGCTGCGGACTAGTAGGGCCCCATTCGTAAACGATGCTATTCTCTATTTGAGGACGATGAGTGTTCTCTGATAGGAGTGGCCGATGAAGGCGGTGCCCTCCTATTCCTGACCATTGACAATTGTATTCCATGGACGAGGCTGAGGAGACCACTGTGGGTATCTCATGTTCGAGGACGATGAATGTCTCTCTGTCCCCGGGTAGCCGGTGAGGGTACTGTTCGTTTCCTTTTAGCCGTCGTTGGTTGCATTTTGTGCTTTTGGCCGGAGTGGTGGCATCTGTAACTTGGTGTCCATGTTTTGGAGGACGATAGCGGCACTAATACGGTAGGCGTAGTGCGTATCTTGGTTTCTTGGACGATGGTGTAATACCCGAGATTAATTTAAGAGGATTAATAGTACTACTCATACCAACAAGATGCATCTCCTTTTAAGGGAGCTCATCACAAAGAACTCCAAAGTTAAGCGTGCTTACAGATGGTGATCTGGGGACGTTGAGTTCCTGTTTTAATCCCTGGCCGTGAGTGGAACATGCGGTCTCGAAGCCGTTGAGTGTCCTGTAGTGTTGTATCTTTGGAGAGCATTCTTTCCTTTGCTGACCTAGCTGTGGCCGATGATGCACCACGAGGTCATGGACGTTGCGGTGCATATGTGATGTTGTATTTGTGGACTTAATATTTTTTGGGCTTCTTTGATTTTGTCTTCCTTATTTCCAAAGGCCGGTGTAGTCCCCCAGTCCCCCACTACTTCAGGCCAAAGAGTAAGCGAGGGGTGAAGGAGTAAAGGATTTCCCTAGGCCGAAGTGGACTCTTGCATTCCCCTGAATCCAATTACTTGGCGATTTCCTGACCAGGGTAACCCTGTGGGAGAACCCTTGGACGCAGGTCGCTTTCAAGAAATTATCATCAGGGTTTTATGCGAGGCCGATGGTTGTGGGGTTACTTTTTGCTTCGATCTTGTTGCCATTAAGGGCGTGCATGGGGCCGCTGGCCGTTGTAGTGGCGTTGATTGTCTCATATGGCCGATGATGTTCCGGACATCGTGGTCTCTCGTTTGTCCGTGTGAGCTGTAGATTTTACCTTGCTAGGTGGGCTAGCTCGTGGGCCTGGCCCATTCCCGAAGGGGTGGCACCTCATTGACTCTTGGGGCGGTGACCGTTGGTGTCACCACTGGGAAGGTGCCACGTGTAGTGACCGTTGGGAGGGGCTATAAATACCCTTCCCTTACGAAGGAAGTCCCCCATTTGCTATTTGAGCTACCGAGGTGCTGCCCAAATTTTTAGAGAGAGAAAGTTCTTGAGGTGTTCTTCCGGTTCTTCAAAACTTCAAAGGTTAGTTCATCGAATTTTCCTCTGTATTTTGCCTACTTTGCTTCCTAGGCCTTTGATCTAGTGTTAGTCACGAAGCACCTTAGATCTGAAGTAGTTCCCGTTAGGCCTGTAATTGTTGTTATGATGAAGAATTTAGACGAAGAGTACTACCCCTACGACGATGAGCCCTCTACCAAGTCCCTCGATTACGAAGTGGTCGAAGAGTTCTGCGAAGAGATTGAAGATCTGAGCTCGTTCAAGTCGGGGAGTAGGACGACGAGGAGGGCGAGGACGAGGAGGCTGCCTCATCATCTGAAGGTGGGGACGCAGGAGTCTCCCGAACTACGGACGGGGCGTCCACCTCGGCTGCCATCCCCTGCCCGAAGCCAGTATCTGCCGTCAAAGGTGCAGCGGCACTGAAGAGGGTGAGGAGGCCGAAGAAGGGTCAGCCTTCTCTTATCTAGATCTCACCAACATTTACATCATCAAGCCGCAGAGCAACGCGGGTGAATACTTGGTCGCACAGATGTACGTGGGGCCGTTTGGTAGGGATAGGGCTCCCAGGCCGACGAACCATGTTCTCAATCCACCCCCGGGATACTTTGGAGTGTACCCGATGCGTTTCGCCAAAGGACTTCGGTTCCTGCTTTACCCGTTCATCGCTGAGTATTTAGACATGGTAGGGCTCCCTCCGAACAGTTACTCACTCATCGTTGGGTTCCTCCTACGTTGCGATGAGTTGGGTTTCCAGCCGACGATGGCTCTATTCATGAACCTCTACCAGATAGGCCGGGGGAGTCATAAGAACTGCGCTTGCTACGCCACTCTCCAACAATTGCCGAAGAAGATGAGTTTCACTGACTTACCGTCGTCCATCCATGGTTGGAAGAGTAAGTATGTTTTCATGTCGTTGGGTGAGGGGGGTGTCGAGTTTCCCTCTGTCGGCCACAGTGAGCGATTCAATCTCCACGACATGCCGAAGAGTTCACTTTTGGACGCTCAGGTGGCAGCCTTCCTGAAGGGAGGGCCGAGGAGCGTGAAGGACTACATTATCGAGTATAAGATGACCGCCCTCGGCTTCTTCAGGTATTTTGTGTATGGTGACCGAGAAGAGGATGTTGAACTGTGGCCGAGGATGAGCACAACGTTTGAGGTGCCCGATGGGCCGGACTTGGGCATGTCTGCCGAAGCCGACGGTAATACCCCCTATCTTCCCTGACTTTGCTCATTTTTACTCTATTTAACGTTTTGTTCCCTTTGTCGTGCAGGCTTTCAAATGGATCGCCGATCGGTGATGAATAGGGCTGCCGCCAAGGCGAAGGCGGAACTGGCCGCCAAGGAGGCCGCAGCAAAGGCGGCGGCAACAGGGGTACAGCCGAGTGCTGATGTGCCGAAGAAACCACCAACTCAGAAGAAGAAGCGGACGGTGGATGACAACCAGAAGAAGCTGACGGAGGCCGGAATGCAACCAGCCAAGAAGTCCAAGAAAGCTTCTCCCTCTGTGCCCGATACCGGAGTGCTGACTGTCCCTCTTGAGAATGAGGGGGGTTCCCGTGCTGCTGCTATAGTGGACCTCTCCTCCGGTCTTTCCGTTGATGTTTCCCGACCCCTCTCTGCCGTCCTGGACTCCCGGCCGAAGAGGGCCGGTAAGGAGCTGACCACGGCCACCTATAAAATGGAGGTGAAATACCCCGTGGGTGGAGGTGTCTTCAACGAGGTTGTTGATGGCCACGACGTGCTCTCCCAGGCCATCCCGGCCAAAGATCGGGTCTACCTTGACCAGCTCGGGGACGTCAAGATCTACGACGGTGGGATGGACCTCGTCGTCTAAGTAAGTTCGAATTTTTTGTTTTTGCCGTTTTCCTTGAA